TTTCAAATGTGTTCTCTTCTTATAGGGGAAGTAAAAGTAAAGTAAAGTTTGTCCCACTATACGCCATGTAGGCGTTTGGGGTGAGTGGAGGTATAGCTCCTCTCTTCCTTGACCGCGGCACTAGATGGGGGTGAGTGGTCAGCATCACGCTTATAGGGGAAGTACTTAGTATTAATTATTGACTTCTTACATTTATGATCGAATGTAACCAAATTATAAGTTAGATTAATTCTCTTTATATTTTCTCAACTACCAACAATGTGTAAATATGGACCGACAATGGTAAGCTTTTATGTTAATACCTGCGTCTACAACAATGTAAGAAAATGTATTCGGATTTCCAACCCACACCTGCAACAATGTTGGTTGAGCATCCCATAAGGCTCTTTATTCATTTCTTATACATGCAGTATAATTGCCTGAATAAACCGTGTTGCACTCGATTCCTTTACTAATTGTTACGTCACAGTTTTCGACGGCATTGTTGTATTGCCGTCCGCTTTCGTCAGTGTGGAAAGAACTGAGCTGTGAATCGCTTGTAGAAGAAGTGTGTCGTAGACTAGATAATTTTGTGCTGTTAAAAACTTTTTAGAATATCACAAGTACTTTTCTTATATAAGAGTTATTAAGAAATCTGTGATACTATCCTCCAGTCTTTCCAGCGGACATCGTGGTATCTTACCATTGAACAAATTTGAGGTAAGGGATTCCTATTTATTATTATAATTGTTCATGACATTTACGTGTTTTCATCTACATTTATGAACTCTTGTAAAAGAATTAGGCTTGTCGTCTTTCTAACACAATTTCAGGCAATATTAGGTTGGCTTCTGTTTGTTCACGGCATCATAGATAGTAAAATAATATTCCAGTAGGCAATTAACATTTTACACTTTTAAAGGAATAAAACGTGTTTAGTAGCCCAGAATCTTAATAAAAATATATGGATGCTAAGAAGTGGGGTATATATTCTAACACTTCACATCTCTTGATACATCGACATTATTAAAGCGTTTTAGGGAACTGTGAGAAATTTTTATTTGGGTTTTATGAGCCTAATTATCGACGAATCTCCCTCTTACTATCTCTCTACAACAGCAGATTAAATCCGGGGAATACCTGAGTGCAAATCTTTTTTTCCTCCGGTCTCATACCAAAAGAAAAT